ACCAGACTATCCATATAATTTCGCCATTTGAAATACTGAATCCTTGATACCTATATATATCAGTTATAGTCCAAATTAGCAATATTTAATCACGTTCTTGAATATAGAAATGAGAGCAGAGTTGCTTAATGAGAGGACATTGATAACGACATAATTGACTCTCAGTATAATCAATAATGTCTTTTTTTTCCAAAACTTCATGTGGATATAGAAACCTATTATCTGCATTTGTATGAATGTCTCCTTCGTTTATTTTTTTCCGTACAAAGGTTCATTTTGCTTACCATAGACACTATCTTCCAAATGCGTAAAAACCATAAAAGAGGAAAGAATGTTTATAGGCCTACTAATCAGATTATCCAAGGGAAATTATTTGATGTCGAAGATGTCGAATGACGTAATGGAGAGCATAACAGTATAGAATAAATAAATAAATAAATAAATATATAAATAAATTAATATATTTGCATATATATGTGTGTGTATATATATGTATATATATATATATATATATATATATATATATATATATATATATATATGTATATATATATATATATATATATATATATATATATATATATATATATATATATATATATATATATATGTGTATATAGATAGATAGATAGATGGATAGATAAATAGATAGATAGATAGACAGACAGATAGATAGATAGATATAGATACAGATAGAGAGAGACAGACAGACAGTGAGACAAACATATAGAGAGCGAGACAAGCAGAGAGAAGAAGGGATAAAGACTGATAGATACACAGAGAGATGGATACAGGTAGAAAGATAGATAATTACTCTCCCTCTCTCCTTTCTTTGCGTCAAGTCTGTCTATTCTTCATTCTTTTGGCTTCCATTCTGACAGGATCCCTCTGATTCACCCTAACATACGTAGGATAGAATGAATAATTATATAATTGGATACTGACTCATAGGGATCATCATAGGGAGTTTGTGGTTTAAATATGGCGCGGACATCCCTAGATTTTTCCTTTTTGATGCAGTATATCGTTTTTTTTGGGGTATGAACCAGATTTTTCAATTATCATAAATTATTAATGATGATAGCATTAATAATTATGGTAGTTACGATGGTGACGAAACAAACACGTAAGAACGAAAACGGTAACAGTAAAAATAAATATTAGTGGAATAATAACATTAGTGGAAGAACTTTATTGAATGTAGAAAAGGTATGAATGAGAATGAATATCAACAGGTTTCGAATATATTTTCGTCAAAAAATACATACTTTACTGTCATAACAACTATTGACAAGTATTGACTGATGGGGATAATTATTCATACAATGATCACGATGAAAAAGCTTCTCATAGAAAAAAAAACGGGTAAACTTTGTCCTTCATTAAGTTAAATTCTTAGTCTAGATCCGTTCAAAACCAAGGTTGCTTTAAAAGGCTCTTGTGTAACGTTTTTTTCGCGTTTATTTTAATTATATTTATCGTAATGATCACTGAGTTACAATTAGTAGGCAGAGGAAGGGTTAAAGTTCAAGTTCACCGTAGATTTGAACTGATTTAGTAAAAGAAAATTCCTGTTTTTTAAATATTCATTATTGCTAATATCAAACCGATTGTAATATGTCAAATATGTAATGTTATTAGATTATAGAATAAAAAAAATTGGTTAAACTATTTTTATGAGCGTTGTATCTTTGTGTGTGTGTGTGTATGTATGTGTGTAGATAGGTAGATAGATTAAGGGATAGACAGGTAGACAAACAGATGAATATGTACACATTCATACGTATGTTGTGTACGTAAATTCACACACAGTAAAAGATACTTGTTTACAGTGTTAAGATTCCGCGACGCCCATGCTACAGCGCCCAAGGGTAAAAATACCTTATGTTTGTTTTAGTGAAAATAATGAACGATACTTTTTGTTACGTTTTCTGGTGATTTTTTTTCATCTATATATTTCTATTTTTATTTGGAGGACCGTGTCCATTTTCTGCGCTCACTACTTGCTGTCGAATTCAATTCAATTCAATTGTTCATGATGATGATTATGGAAATGATGATGGTGGTAATGGCGATGACATGGGGGGGTGAAGATCATGATGATAATGGCTAATTATAATCATAATATTTATTAATACATTCCATAGAAATAACATGCACGGTGAATGATGGTAGGTAGGTAGGTAGTCGATATCGGCCCCAAGGTTCGATGGAACCATCCTAGGGGTCGATGAGCGTTAAATGGAGGCCGAAGAGACCATTCAAGCTACCCATTTTAAATTCTCGATGATAATTTGTAAAAATCATGAATAACAGACTCCATTAGAAAAACAAATTATATACCCCCCCCCACACACACACACAAACACACCAAAACCAAACCTTCCCTCATCGTCTCTCGCAGCCAAACTGTCCGCACAAGATATAGGGCAGGAGCCCGCAGGGGTCAGGGTAACTGGGAAGGTAACACTATTACCAACTTAGAGCAAGGACCTACTAC